CCAAACTGCTGGGATTACAGGTGTGAGCCACCGCACCCAGCCTTGGAAACTCTTTTCTTCCAAATATTTGAAGAAAAGTTTTTCTTTGTGTTTTGTTTAACCCTGCACTCCCACTTAGAGTTTTGCATTTTTGCTTCTGCCCTGTAAGAGCCCTTAGTTATAGTCATGATTGTTTATTTCTTTCTTACGGAGGTTATTTATCTAGACATGTTTCATAAAGGAGAAATAAACACATTTTATGTAATACAATAATTTATAATATTCTGATTTCTCATTTTAGGTGTTTCTGTTTGGAATAAAAAGACTTAGAGGCCCATGGGTAGGCTTCAGAGAAACTATTTCCCCCAAAAGTATATATCTATATAGATAGATGATAGATAGATATAATTATATATGTGTGTTGTGTATAATGCACATTTTCCTAGGGAGTTTTATCAAGTTTCATCAGACTCTCAAAATAAGAGCCACTGATTTATTAAAACCATCTGAAATAGCACGGAAGTACCTTCATTACTTCCTGGAGCTGGTCTTCCGTCTCCACTTCTCCTACCTCCTGACGCCCTCTTATTCTTCTCACAATGCTTTTCTTTTCAGGATCCAGCCTTGAGAATGTGTTAGGAGTGGGGTTCAGGGATTGGTGGGTTGGAGGGGTGTGTGGAGTTATGAACCTGCAGGTTGAACTTTAATCGGTTGAAATGAAAACTGTGGATTAAAGAAAAAGGGAACAAAATTACAAAGGCAGCTCTGGGTAGAATCGGAGAGGTTATAGAGATATAATTAATTTTATACTGGCTTTTTGTTTTTCATCATGAAGCATATCAAAGCTATAATATTGGGCTGGGTGTGGTGGTTCATGCCTGTAATCCCAGCATTTGGGGAGGCCGAAGCAGGAGGATTGATTGCTTGAGCCCAGGAGTTCAAGATCATCCTGGGTAACATATGAGACTCCATCTCTACAAAATGTAAAAAAAAAAAAAACAGCTGAGTGTGGTGATGCACACGTATACTCCCAGCTACTTGGGAGGCTGAGGTGGAAGGATCACTTGAGCCTGGAAGTTAGAGGCTCCAGTGAGCTCTGATTATGACACTGCACTGAATGACAGAGGGAGATCCTGTCTCAAAAAAAAAAAAAGAAAAAGAAAAAAAGTAAAGAAAAAAAAGCTATGCTGTTGTTGGCTTATTTTCTTTGAGAATAAGGATACATAGTAGCATAATTTTTTATATAAAGATATATAACTTTGTCTACCAAAAACAATGTCAACTATAACCACTTAAGTTTTCAAAATGCATTTTTAAAATTTTAAAGTCAAATAAGAAGTTCATAAAGACTAGCAATAATTTCTATTTACAGCCTACAATTGAGACTGAAAACTATAAATTAGACAAAATCACTAATTGACAACAATGGCTGCTACCTTATTAGCTGTGGTTGATTGGCAAATTGAATGAAAATCAGGTTAATGAACTACATTTCCTATTTTGCTAATTTCCTCATATTTTTTGACATACAAATTTTTTATTGAAAGCTATCTCAGTACTATTTTGGAACAGAGTAGGTTATAGGCAAACAAGCATAACTACTACAGTGGATTCAAATATATTTATTTATTGACCTTCATATTTTAACAAAATGGAGTTGTCTTGACCATATGAATCCATAGTCACATAAACTAGGCACATATTTCTTTCTTTTCTTGTTATTGTTGTTATTAACAAGCAACATAATTAAAAACAGAAACACAACAACCTTAAAGGTTAATAAGTCAAACCACTGCTGCATGTCTCTGGGTATATCTCACTCATTACAAGGCAGGACATAGGCACATGACTGTGAATTTAGGTATATATGTAACCAAGAAGAATGAGAGAAATGGAAAACACTGGAGAAAAGAAAGTATCAAGAACTTGTCAGCAGGCAATCCCAAAGTACTCTGCTCTTTTCCTCTTCTTTGCCTCTGTATCCTCTGTTGGTTCCAGTTCCAGCTGAACTTGTGACAATCCCAAATCTCTCCTTCCTCTTTCAGTTTCTCATCATCTTCAGACTTTCTGGAGATTGAAGAGACATTCGAGCCAAATCTTTGCGCTATTTCCTTCAGCTTATCCAAGTTAACCGCAGGTTTGTTATCAGATGACAGACCTTTTGTTGGAACTGAGGAAATCCCAAACCCTCTGCCCAAGCAGCTTTCTTACTCTCCAAGCTCGCAGATACATTGAATCGTTTGGCCCCATTCTGCATTCTCTGTCTGTGGTATTTCGAATGTAATTTTCACCACTTTCTTCCCTGCTGCCACATCAACAGTTTTTTTCAGGGGGTTCTTTCTCTTTGACAGAGAGCTCTATGGGCTTTGTTTCTTCTTCCTCTCTTTCATCTCCCAGGATGTCTTTTTCATTTGCCTCCTCTTCAGCATGTTCTTCAAGATATGCCTGGAGTCTGTGGATAAGGTCTTGCTTTATTCCCTTGGTCTCCAAAGCAAGACATTCTTGCTTTAGTTCAGCAAGCTTCAGCTTATCGAGCTCCACTGTCTTGTTAACCCTCCAAACTAGGCACATACTTCTTATTAATATTTAAGTAAAATGAAGGTAGTATCACATAACTTATAATGCTATCAGTTCATCTTTGCCAACACTAAGGTATGAATCAAGACAGTTTAATTCTGTTCTGATATTATATGAAATCACCTATTTCAAGTCAGCTCTAGGTGTGCTTTTAAAATATGTTAATCTTAACTAATACCAATCCACAAACTCATGGTATAGGGAAAACTTAATGCCCAAATGGGGCTGCAAATATTTTCAGCCTTCCAAGATGGTTCCTATAAATATGATATGCCCAAAGGCTGTTTCTGTCTGTAGAAGGCATCTAATGAGGTTATGTTCAATCTGCAAAGGATATTAAAGTATTGCTGAATGGCTTTTGTCCCAGATGCAGTATGAATAAGATGGCTGGCAACAATAGATCAAAGTCCCCTTGAGGCATCATGCACATTTATTATGAAGCGCTCAAATGTGACAATATACAAGTCACCAACAAAATAGCAGTTATTTTATGAAAATTATGAGGGTAAGGGTGAGGCCCTCTTAAGTATGCCAACAAAATGCAATTAAACAGATTATATTGCTGGAAACAGTCTGCTTTGAGCTGATTTTGCATAATGTATTCCTTTAACTCATGCCCACATAGCTAAATGTTTACAGGGTGGAAATGTTCAACTGTTTCCCAGTCTGATTTTGGGAAGTTAGTTTGCAGAAGCCCTCAGAAATGAGCCCTCTGTTTCATGTGATACTGAGAGAATGCCAGTGGGGGCTGAGTTCATTCTGCCTATAAGTGTCATAGGTCTATGTGGTTCCCTGCAGGACCACAAGAGACCTGGGCTGAGTCATTCTCTGCACCATATTTCTCCATTTACTTCTGTATTAGTTAGGCTTCTCTTAGAGGGACAGGAGATATATATAAAGGGAGTTATTAAGTATTAACTTACATGATCACAAGGTCCCACAATAGGCTGTCTGCAAGCTGAGGAGCAAGGAGAGCCAGTCCAAGTCCCAGAACTGAAGAAGTTGGAGTCCAGTGTTTGAAGGCAGCGAGCATCCAGTATGGGAGAAAGATGTAGGCTGGGAGGCTAGGCCTGTCTCACCTTTCACATTTCTCTGCCTGCGTTATATTCACTGGCAGCTGATTAGATTGTGCCCACCAGATTAACAGTGGGTCTGCCTTCCTCAGCCCACTGACTCGAATGCTAATCTCCTTTGGTAACACCCCGTGGACACCCAGGATCAACACCCTGCATCCTTCAATTCAATGAAGTTGACACTCAGTACACTTCTTTAGATGATTGATTGATTTTATTTTTTAAAATCTGGATTCCACATATTTCCTCCAGTTCTTTGTTTTGTTTTTGTTTTGATATGTAGTCTTGCTCTGTTGCCCAGGCTGGAGTGCAATGGTACGATCTCAGCTCACGGCAAGCTCTGCCTTCTAGGTTCAAGCGATTCTCCCGTTTCAGCCTCCTGAGTAGCTGGGATTGTAGGTGCACACCACCACATCTAGCTAATTTTTGAATTTTTAGTAGAGAAGGGTTTCACCAGGTTGTCCAGGCTGGTCTCAAACTCCTGACCTCAGGTGATCTACCCGCCTGGGCCTCCCAAAGTGCTGGAATTACAGGCGTAAGCCACCTCGCCCTGCCTCCTCTAGTTCTTAAAATGAGAGAAAACAAAGACAGATGGCCTTGGTCCTCCTTAAAAAGTATGGTTTTTCCTTTTCTTAAATCTTCACACACTGCTTTCTCTCATATTCAGTCTTTATTTGGTAAAGACTTCCGGTTTATAAACGTCACCGACAGCTACGGAGTTAAGAATACATTTTCTTCATCATTTAGCTTTTGATGCCTTGTTATCAATTACCCCTTTAAAAGCCAGTCCTTCTGTAAACATTCTAAGATGCTGTAAACAATGAAGGCGTATCTGGGCTCAGGATGCATGTGCCATGTCTTTCTGATTTATTTTCCTGCCTTGTTTTCAATAGTGATTTACTCATTTATTTTAATCGATGAAGATACGTCTGAATTTTACCTTGGTGTGGAAACCACGTTTTTCACTGTATATGTGATTAACAGCTAGTATATGTGCTTACTTACTTGTCTGTGTCACTACTCTTGTCTAGTTGTGATTCATATAATCACATCTAACATTTTGTATTCTTATTGGTAAATTTACCATTGCAAATGTGGTAAGATCTATTCCTTTTAGTAACTTTTACTAGAATTGTAGCATTTACTGTTAAACCCAGTAGTCCTAAGACTAAATGAGATGAAAAGAGATACAGTAATTCTTGGACGACTGTTTTTCTGTTATAAAGATCATTCTGAGCAGTTCTCATTTTTTACATTTTTAAAATAAATTATTAATAATAGATGGTAAATAGAATACCTGTAAATTAAGTAAACTTGAAACAATGTTTAGCAGCTTTCATTTTATAATTATATATCTTGCTTTCTTTGCAGGACCGTGTAATTGCATTAGAAACGGTAAGTTGGGGCATTTTCTTTCTCCTTGTATCAGAATTACTGCTGTCTCCTGATGTGGATTTCAGAGCACACCAAAGGAAGCAGTTTTAGAAATCATTTTTAAAACTACATCTAAGATGTCAAAGGGAAAAAGGAGTTAAACTGTATCTAAAAGGTATGTGGATATAGATTTTAAAATAAATTAAATAAAAATGTGAGCGTATTTAAGTGGTCACATCTTTCAGGACTTCTGATGTCAAAATGTACTAATATATGAAAAACATAATTAGTTTAAATTAGTTTAAAAACTTTGTGTGTTTTTTATTGTGGTTTACAATCACTAAAAGGATGGATAAGAAACTGAGGTTAGGTTGCTATTTATCCTTTCAAGTCTAAGGTTTTAACCTTCATTTAACTTATTTTCACCAGTATCACAAAAAGAATAATAAAAGCATGCCAGCTTTTTCTGAATAATCTTACTTGTAGGAATGTACTATTAAGAAATAATGTTTCAAGTTCATAGATGTAAAGACTACATATATACAATATTTATTGAAAAATTATTTGAAATTTATTCAAAAATTATTTTTGGCCGGGCGTAGTTGCTCGGGCCTGTAATCCCAGCACTTCGGGAGGCCCAGGTAGGCAGATTCCCTGAGGTCAGGATTTTGAGACAAGTATGGTCAACATGGTGAAACCCCGTCTCTACTAAAAATACAAAACTATTAACTGTACTGGGTAGCTCATGCCTGTAGTCCCAGCTACTTGGGAGGCCGAGGCAGGAGAATTGTTTGAACCCCAGAGGCAGAGTGAGTGAGATTGCACCACTGCACTCCAGCCTGGTGACAGAGTAAAACTCTGTCTCAAAAAAAAAATGAAAAGAAAAATTATTTTAAAATTATTAAAAGGAAAACCAGGGCCAGGCATGATGGCTCATGCCTGTAATCCGAGCACTTTGGGAGGCTGAGACAGGTGAATCACTTGAGGTCAGGAGTTCGAGACTAGACACTGGCCAATGTGGTGAAACCCTGTCTCAACTAAAAATACAAAAATTAGCCAGGAATGGTGGCGTGTGCCTGTAATCCTAGCTACTCAGGAGGCTGAGGCAGGAGAATCGCTTGAACCTGGGAGGCAGAGGTTGCAGTGAGCGGAGATTGCTCCACTGTACTCCAGCCTAGGTGACAGTGCAAGACTCTGGCTCAAAAAAAAAGGGAAACCAATTTATTGTTTGTCAATAAAGTTATGGTTCCATAGAGTAAGGACTTTTCATCCAACATGCCACAGTGGTTATGCAAAAGCTTATAATATTAGATGGGAAAAAAATCAAGATATAAAATTGTGTGTACCTTAATGATGACATATAGGCATATAAAAAAAAGAACAAAATAGAGTAACGACAACACTGATAAGTAAGATAAGAACTACGGATTTTAATTTTATTCCTTTCTGTTTTTCAATTATTTGATGAAATACTATGCAGCCATAAAAAGTCGGGTTTTCAAAAAAGTAAATACTGCCATGCTAATATATGAAAAAGTGATGTAAGATATATAAAGTGTGATAAAAATATTAAAAGTACATATTTTACATTTCAGGAGACTAAGAAAATATATAAAATATTACAAATATCTTAGTAGCAGTGATTTTTTTCTTATATTTTTAGTAAGCAGGAAAATTCTTTAGATAATAAGGTTAATAAAAAATGAAGTGTTTGTATGAAGAGAGGAAAGATGCTTACCACATTTTAGTAATATACAAGCAAGTGATAACTGACAGTGTCCAGAACTATGGATGAATAGCTTCTTCCTGAGATTTAACTGGGCATTTAGAAAGTACACTAATCTCAGTTTCAGTATGACGCCATTGTTGGTGAATAAAATGTAAGTGTTCTTCCACATATATTTTACTTAGCCTTAGAAAGTGTCTTGCCAACAGAATTTGGCTTGTGAATTAAATGCTCTTTTTAAAAACAGAATTTTGAGTTTGAAGACCTGGATTTGAATTTCAAAATGCCATTTATACAGCCTTTAGCAAATGACTTCTTTCTTGATTTCTTCATCTGTGAAGAAGGTTATTTAAATTATTTTATCAGGTTATTTTAAGAATAAGAGAGAAAATACCTGTGAAAATAATTATTCCAAGCGAATGTTATTGTTACCATTATGTGATTGATTGTTACTTTTTATTTAATCATTTGAATTCTACCTATATACTATGCAAAACTGAAAATTTTATTAGCAACAGTGACTATTTGTATTTGTTAATTTTTTTTTTGTTTATCTAATCTCTTCACTAACAAAGAGATTAGATAAATAAAGATTCTATTCTATAGGAACAGAATCTTAAATGTCCTATCCTAAGGGTTCCCGTAAGAACAAAGGTAAAAATAAAAAGTCATCATGGGGAAAAATTAAATGGATTAAATGGACTAGGTTTTAAACAGCAGTAGTTTTTTGATAGTTTCAATTTGAAATGATTATAAATAAAACCATAAAAATTAAAATGCTCAGTAATAATGTTAATGATCAAATATTATGAAGTCCTTTGATTTCATATGACATTTTAAGGGACAGAATTTAATGTATTTGGCAGACTATTCAACTGATAAAATACTTTATAGTTTATAAGATCAAATATGCTGAAAGCCATCTCAAGAACATTTATTATTCTCTCTCAAGTCAGTACTTAAAACTTAGAAAAATGTTGGTGATCCATTTTTGGTTGAGTTGTTATTAAGAGTATAGAAGGTACTGTATGTAGGATATATATCACGGGGATATCAATCTCCAAATGTTTGAAATTTCACCATTCCATTAGGAGTATTTATAATAGATTGATTTTAGCGGTTCAGTAGTTATAATACCCAAAAAGAAGATTGCCTTTTCATCATAATAAGAAACTCAACTTAGCTTGCCACAGATTATCTAATGCATAGGTCACAATCACATATCCACTTTTCCCTCTCTTCCTCAACTTTTCCCTCTCTTTCTTTACTAGCAGGTAAGCTCCTTGGAGTAGAAACTGCATTTTATTTGCAAATGCATTGCCAGGGTCTGTCAAAAAAGTTTGATATATAGTAGACAATCAATAAACATTTGTAGAATGAAGGAATGGGTATCAAACTGAATATATCTCAACCTCACATAAGACAGTGCTTAGGAATAAACAGCATTAATCCAGTAGTTGCAAGAAATTCCCCAGAAGCACAGCAATGTATTCTTTATTTACTAGACTTCCTGGTTAGTACTGTATTCTATTTGGCATTTCACAGAAGCTCTAACCATCTTTAGTAAATATTAATATAAACTTTTTGGGATGGAACCACCTTCAGCCAGAATAGAACGGGTTGATTCCCTAAATATAGCTAAGTGATTACATGGTGAAAAAAAAAAACACCTTGATTGAGAGCCCTGTCTCATGGGCCATGGATGGGACTCAGCTGTGGGCTCAATATGAGGCATTGTGTTGACACCAAGCAAGAGAACAGGAAAATAAATTGTGATCAGTGCCTTCAAGGAATTGGTACTCTAATCAAGGAAGGAAGACACATTCATTTAAATGAATTAATGATGAAAGGTAAAAAGATCTTTAAAATGCAGCACATGAATGAAAAAGATGATGCATTTTGCAGAAGCTATTTTGAAGAAAAGATGATTGTAAAGAAAATTGAGGCATCATTGTGATCTGAGTTCACTGTGAAAACCATGGATTTTGCAGTTTGAGGACATGATAAGGAGCTTAAATTTATTTCGGAAATAGGAAGAATCAGTAGAGTCAGGTCAAAAGAGCCAGAGAAGTCTTCTCATGTTGGAGATGTAATCAAAGTCTAAAGGCAGTAATGAACAAAAAAGTTTGTTAAAAGGATTTTTTAAGGTAAAATCATGACTCCCATACACATATCAAATGAACCCATGACAAATGTGTTTATTTAACTCATTAATTAATGAGGGAATGAACAAGAAGTTACAAATGATTTAAAGGAGCATTTAAAGAAGCTCTCATATATAGGCACTACAGAGCACTGAAATGTATTTTAAATAAAGGCAAAATTGGCTTCTACAATGGGGAAGGAAAATCAATAAAACCCTACCAGATAAAATTTATTATCTGTGAACAAAAATCATTTACATTGCAATCAGTTATCTGCAACTCATAAAGTTATAAATAACTCAAAGACAACAAGAGGTCAGAGATCTCACAGAAGCAGAAAACCCAGAAGGATGTGCTAGGCAAAAACTAGTTCTTCACTGAAGATACCTAGTCAGTTTTTGTTCCATTTCAAAGCCTTTTCACATTTTTTCCCCCCGCAGGTTCATAGGAGATAATGTATAGAGCCATAGATAACAATTTGAGAGAGTAATAGGAGACATTCTGGAGTTCTGAAATATAAACCAAGCAGTTTAGATTTTGATTTTTTTATATCAGGGTTTTGTACTTTTTACATCAGGGATCTTTTATCGCAGGATCTAAATAGGTTCTTCCCAAATGCCAGTTCGTACTGGTCAGTAGTTGCTATTGAAAGATTGTGTTGGGAAGGATTTTTTTCTGGTTGCTCTTTCAGAAAGAGTGCTGTGATCACCTTACATTTCTGCCATATTCATTACAAGGTTAGGAGGTAGAAAGTGGGAGCACAGGTATTAAGCCGAAAGGGTGCCATCGATGGTTTTCAATTAGGGATCATGGTGTGGTGCATGTGGCCTATAAATGTAGTGACAGTGCAGGATGATCTGGAGTAGGGATAGACTGCAAAGAGGAAGACGGGAAGTGCACATGGGAGGTAATCCAACGTTAGAAATGTGTTTGGAAAAGTAGGAGTAGGGGCAGTTTGGTGCAAGAAGGAAGACTCAAAGTGCGTGCCCTTGTTTAGAGAAGGGAACTAGCAAACTTAATAAGTGGGAGGTCATGGGACTAAAGCAAATATAGATACTACAGTCAGGGTCCTTTCGGGAAGTGAAAGGGATTATAAGGCAATTTACCTTGGTGATATAAATTCAGTTTTTCATATCACCCTTTAAATCTGT